CACATTCTAGTTACTTTTCTAAACCCTTTCACCTCTGTAGTTAGACATTCTAGTTACTTTTCTAGACCCATTCATCTCTGTAGTTACACATTCTAGTTACTTTTCTAGATCCTCCAGCGGTTGCCAACATGGCGGAAAACAGCGAGAAAAGGAATAGAAATAAAAACAGAGAAGCAAAGTTATGTCGCAACTGAACTGGCGCTAGAAAAATGATCGTGTTCCAGTAACCGGCGTTGCACTTTCACGCACGTTCAAGCGACCAGAGATAATGATATTTCTTCTCTTCATTTAACGCGAAAATAAAACGTTTCTCATTTTGTTTACTGGCGACTCTATTTTTAAGGGTTCGAATGGTTCTTTCTGTCAGACAAAAAAAAAGGAAAAAAATCTTCTCTACTCCTTGACATTTGGATCGTTCTAGTACTTTTTGAGATTTTAACATTTCAATCATCTAGTTCTAGCGTTTAGAATTTAAAAACCACTAGGATCTGTTCTTAAAATTTAACCACGTTGATATTAAAATTATTGACTCTCATTACTTAGAGGATCTGATTTAAATTCTCAATAACTTATATGCTATAAGTTATATAACTTTCTTACTATTCTTATTATTATTATTAATGTTCTTCTTATTCTTCTTTTTATATTATTATCATTAATCTTCTTTTTATTCTTCTTCTTTTATCTTATTATTATTATTAATCTTCTTTTTATTCTGCTTTTTATTATTTAACAAAAGTTGCTGAACAATCGATCTTAAAATATACAAAATTTTGTACACTTCTTCAATTCAATTTCTCTCTCTTTTTTTTTTTTTTTTTTTTTTTTTGTTTCACTTGGCAGATTAAGAATTCCGTTTGAAATTAATCGGATCATTTTTGTTCGTTCGAATACTTTCACGTTCCCTATTCCGTCTCGTCATCGTTCAGATGATAATCAACCGAGAAAAAGAGACCAGCTGTTGTTGGTTCTTGCGTTTCCTTCGGTTCCGAGCACGATTTTCGTTATCGAGCAGAGAGCATCAATGATTTCGTCACAAATTCCCATTTCGTCATCGCCGCGACGCGATTTTGCAGCTAGAAGAAAGACCGGCTATAATTCGCAACTCGCGAGATCCTATCGAGCGAACTAGCTATGATTTTTATTGCATTCTCGCAACAGTTTTATTATTACGTCCTGGTTTCCTTCGTTGTCAAGACGACCCGTTGTATCTTTAATACAACATTGAATTTGTTAATAATTCCATCTCAATTCGATTTCTTATGCAACTCCTCCGTAGAGGAGGATTTTGATTAATTTAATCAAGAGGTGTTTTCCTCCATTTCGTAAAGCTTTTGTTCTATTTTACTCTCATTTTGGAAAGTCTCAGGTTTCCTGCTTTCAGTTTTAGAAAATCTTCCGTATCCCAACTTCGTTTATTTCAATT